GTATTGAAACACGGCTAATTTTCGTTGATACATGCGTTGTACTACTTGGTGCAACGTGTGCCTTTATGCTACCACTACAAGAGCAAAGGGAGTAAGCAATGTGCAGCGAGTGCTCGTGGTATCAACTTACTGAGTTGCGCACAAATTCTGAATACCCGCCTCGTCAGTCAAGTCGTTGAGCCGAACATGGCAGAAGAGCATTGCGGATTCCGTTCGGGCCGACCACCATAGTTATGGTGTTCGCGACTTGTTAATTTCAGGAGAAATGTCGAGAGCGACACCAGTCAATGTACTCGCTGTTTGTAAGCTCCACCAAGACGTTTGACACAACGAGGCACTATAGCTGAAGTTGGTTAGGTTTGGTTGTCTGAGTAAGTCTGCAAGTCTAATTGAATGTCTGCGCAGTGGTATACGGGCGAGAGTGCAGCTGTGTGGACAATCCTCGGATGACTTCGCTGTTGTCCCTTGTGTGAAACAAGACTGTGTTCTAGCCCCTTGTCTGCTTAATATTTACTTAAATGCTATGATGCCTAATGTTTTTGGCGCTGCTTGTGATTACAGTGTCCGTGTGGAGCACTGTATTGATCGTGGGTTATGGAATATCCGTCGTTTCGGCGAGAAAACCTTAATAGGTATATTTCTCAGAAAGGTGAGACACGTTCCAGAGACCCTGGACCGATCATTATGTACAAGTTTTCTCTGAAACTGAAATTGTTTATCGGATGCGAGGAGATTCGTATTGAGTGGGATTGGATTCAAGTTGTAATTTATTCTTATGCAGATCCAACTTTCTTCGGTAGCAAGTATCTCATCGTACCGTTGAACGAGTTGTGGTCCGGATCAACGTAAATAGAAGGGAAATAGCAAGTATTAGTAAGTATTAGTGCGATGGAGGCCGAAAACTTCCTAGGGAATTATGTACATGTGTGGAATCGAGAATAATATAGTGTGGGGAGGGTCTCGCAACCAAATTTCTGGACTCAGCATAAGGAACAACAGTATGGGTCTGGCTAACAGGGAAAAATAAGTCCACATTACTGCACAGTGAAAAAGGGAAATATTTAAGCAACTACCTTATTATTGTATTGCAGATGTGGTTTACACTTAGGAGGCGCAAATACGGATTTCGGATTACTTAAGATGTGTGGGTTGTGGGCTGTGAACAAGAATGCCGACCTTTAGTAGTTTGGCTAACTGCGCTAGGAGTTTGATTATGCAGGGAATTTGTCCAACAGAACGCCAGTGATATGTTTACGAGGTTACAGTAGTCCTGAGTGGCAAACATATTGATGTTGACAATGTGTCGGTTGATTCACCAGCAAGATATGGTCAAGTGAAAACCGAAGCTAAGTGTTGGGGAGCAAGGTGGGTTGAAGATGTAAAGAAAGGATCCGGGTGCTTTACCTACCAAAGCGTCAGTGCTTTCACAAACGAATGGTAGGTGTGCCAGCGGGTGAAACGGAAGTGAAGTTACGATTGGAGAGATAGTTAACCGGATTTGGGAGTCCAGCTAACCAAGTTGCCAGTGATTCAACTGACACATGGTTGCAGTGGAGCCAAGTAAAATCAAGGGGAAGTATAGTGAGCCAAGATGGGATGAAGAGGATAACAGAAGCCTGGACCTCCAACCCATCGATGTATCAGTGGAGCCACTAATCAGCGGTGAGCTTTCGGGCAGGCAGATCCGGAGTGGGCAATAAAAGAGAAGGGTAAGCAGGGAATCAACGGATGTTTGTTGATCTGACTGATACAGTCAATTGCAACTTTCAGTTATATGTTGTCTGGACCTTGTTCATACGTTTGTTGAATAGTTGTAGGGCAGCACAGGAGCATAATCACATTGCTGACTGTAAGATATTCGTCAAGCTTTCTACGAAAGTTATACTCAGATGTGCTAGTACGAATATCGGTCGGTTGTGTGAGACAACCATCCGTATGTTGCTTTTTGTCGACGACTGTGCATTGTTCGCGCACAGCGCGGACGAGTTGCAGCGCATGAAGATGGATCTCGCTTCGGCAGCGGCCAAGTTGGGGAGTACTATCAACACAAGACTTTGTCTTTTCCAGCCTTCACCAGGAATAGAGTCTGTGGGCCTGCTCAAAATCCAGGTTGCTGATGAGCTGTTGGATAAGCATAGAGATATTGCTACTTTGGGAGCCTAACATCAACCGACCCGCAGATGACGAGCGAACAGCGTATGTGCTTAACGAAGGCGGCTGCTACATTTCGCAAACTGGAATATCCTGTTTGGAGGAATCACCAGGTTGCAGTTGGGACGAAGCTGCTGGTACACAAGTATATGGTGCTGTCCGCTTTTTTACGGCAGTGAAACCTGGACACGTCCATTATCTGAAGCGTTTCCATCAACAGTGCCTGCGTCGTATTTTGCGCATCGGCTGGGGTGACCGAGTTGCAGGCCCGCAAGTGCTGCACCGCTGTGGCATGTATGCAGCCAAGTGCGTACTTCTGCTGCAGCACCTGAGATAGATGGGCACTGTTCGCCGTATAGATTTGAGGCGAATACCCAAGCAGATGCTATTTGAACAGCTTAGTGCAGGGAAGCAACACGTGGAGAAAATCGAAGTTACGTTACATTTATCACGAACTAATGTTTATTTCAGATGGGAAGCGATGGCCGTTGATCTGCGCGGATGGCGTGAGCTACTCGGATGAGCGGTTGCTCAAGTACAGAGGAAGGCACTGTTGTGTGCGGAGGAGAAACGCCGGGCACAGAAGCGATAGGGGCGAGTGGAGTCTACAAAGTCGACATCAAGCACATGATGCTGTTGCGCATGCGATCGTGAGTGCCTGAGCCATGCAGGACTGGTAAACCACAAGCGTGGTCACTCGGGGGCCAGCATTCGAAAGACGACGAGTCAGCTGATTATCTAATTAGCATCAGCAAAGCACTCGTAAGTACCTTGAGTCCATCTCCATTCGATTTAATAACAGGTGAAAAAGGAGATTAATGTGGTACATGTGTCACGCCATCGCTGCAATTCATCTGTTCGTGTGACTACGTGTTTAATTTTGTGCATTTCAGGTGTTGCCTGTTGCTTGATATTCATGGTGTGGCTGCGCTTGATGCGAATGTTGACAAAATGCCTACCTGTGTATACCCTCCAACCCATCTTTACTGGCTCCAGAAGACTTTGAAACGTTGCTAGGGTGTGGGGGGCGGGGTGCATGTCCCTCTTGGCCTTGTTAGACTCAGAGAATGGTTTCATCCTGTGTGAAACGGGCTACGGTGTAGCCACCGCCTTGCGTATGTCCGGTACTCATAACTTTCAAATTAGAGCGTCAGAAATGCTGCTGCTGTGCATTTTGACGGAGTGTGGGCTGGCTCCGTTGACGCATTGTGGCTCCCATCCCCCGGTGGTGTAGTGCAAGCCATCCATGGTCCGTCAGAAGGTGCAAGCGTCATATGGGGCCCCAGTAACAGGCAAATCCGTAATTGCATGCTGCCAATCATATATGAACGTGATAGGACGATCTACTTGTGTAGGTAACCGTATTACCTCTGATGTCTAAACCACCGAAGTGGCTACTGGGCATTCTGATATGGCTTGCGCAACACTGCTAAGGTATGCTATGTGGCGATTGGCAACAAACTCTTTCGAAATCCTAGACTATTCTTTGCAAGATGTTATTGTCTCGCGAGACGGATGGAGTAAGATGGGTTCCCACACTCCTGACTAGTTTGTCGTTCTATTGTCAGGACACGTGATACTGGTCAAGTAGTGCGTACTGGCGAAGTGTACACAACCGGACAAGATAACTGGCAGTAGTACAAAACTACTATATGTGATAGTCGAAACGTGTGATTTTATAGGAGGCGGGATTTTCACAAGTGTTGCGTGTTTTGTGAGCCAGGCGACAAGAACAAGGTTCTGTTATGCAAAACGAACAAGATTCGTGAATTTTGGTGAAAACATGACAAGTCTGTAGTGAATTGCACACACAACTGGGGGCCTGAAGTTGGTTCGCTGTTTGTGATACAGAAACAAGTTCAAACACAGTTCCGTCGCGCCACCTTGCTTCGGTTTTCCAAACCAGGATTTTACTCGGGTTAGGTTGGCTCTACCCCTAACACTAGATAACTTCCGACTGCCTATTGATCTTCCTCGGCTCGTATTGTCTGCTGTTATCGCACCTGGTAGGACGAAGCCCCAGTTGGTGCCCGACGACATGATAAAAGGGCATGAAGTTGACCGATAGCTCAGTCGGATTGGCCCGTACCATTTTTGGGTGACGCTTGTGGGATCACTCACGCCATCCGTCACAGTACGCCGCAATCTCAGAGTCAGTCCGTCGTTTCTATCTGTTTATTTGGTGTCTAACGTATACGTTTCCTTGAATTTCCCTTTCCCTTAATTTCCCACAATTGTTCTTATTGGCGACGCGGTTCATAGCAACCGAACCAAACGCACTCTGGCATCCGAATCATAATTGACCAACCGACCTCGCCAAAGCTGATGTTGCGGGAAGTATTACGGTGCTGCAATAGGTTTCTCAGTGTGGTAGTCACAAATTCATTGCAAGGTTACTGCAGATAATATATTCAACCTGTTCTCGCTTCGTACACACATTTTCATCTCAACAAATGGTAAATGACAAATTGCCATTAATGTTTTCATAGGCTTCCGAATAATAAGTCACAAACGCAGATGTCGTGGGTCTCATTCCAATTTTCTCTCTTTCTCGTGCCTTCCAGTTACGAGATGATTACGGAGAAAGACTGATAGGCCGTCGTGCATCGTTCGTTTGTCTGTTCTTCGCTTTTCTCATGGCATTCAGCTGCGTTATCGCGGCCTGCTGGATCCTATTTGGAGCTTATGTGGCCGCTCAGAGCCAGACCGTATGGCCTGGAGTTGCGATTTTCTTACAAAATGTGCTTTTGTGCGCATCCTCATTCATTTTCCGGTTTGGAAGAAAGGTGGACGATTAAAGAATCAAGCCAAACTATAATTGTGTTGACTTCGCAAAGACAAAAATACTTATAACTTCTCACGTTTTTATTAGCTTTCACAAGCTGTACACAAAGCATTCATAACAAAATGTCCAGCTTTACATGGCTTCTGACTCTGGTAACCCTCGGAACGTCATTTTGGATTTAATAAAAAGCATTCGACAGCAGTGGTCTTCACGTCTGGGGCGTACTCCATGAACACTTCTGTAATTATGGAAATTATTATCAAGCAACATTTCGCACCTTTGAAGGGATACTGCTTTCGTCCCTCGTTATCGAACGTAATATGGGGATCCAACTGCTTTAAACAGGAAAGTAAGAACAGGTTAGCAGATGGTCTAAATGTAATGAAATGCTCAAATAGAAGGCTTCTTTAACTCGTCCGGTACTTTACCTTTTCAGTGATGCATTTATCCCAAATCATTGGGATCGCGGTCTTCTGATCAGCTAGCAACTCGTTCATGTGTTGTTGGAGCTTGCGGCCTTCTGTCACCAGACCGACGTTCCAAAGCTCAACAATTAAAGTAGCAACTTCATCTGCAAAGAATTTTTTAGGAGAGCACTTGTCACATGAAAATAAAACCGAGATTTGAGCAATGCCTGGCACGAGCACTTTAAGACCCCTATGCGTTGGTGCATATCCAGTTGAAGTCAAATATATATGGACCAGCAATTGTGAACAACCTGCGATGTTGCACGATAAAACTCATGCCGCTGTCATTCTCAATAGACAAGTGTTATCCCAACTATCAGACGGCGCAGCGCACCATGACGAAAGTGATGTAGTCATCCACTGGATACCACTGTGGTGGACAAGTCTGAAGACTTTCCATGGTCGCCTGTAGCAACGAAACTGGATCTGGGTTTGCTACGACCAACTTGATTCACTTAGCTATACAGGTTGGTTCTTTCGGATAACCCTCTCTTCAGATAACTTGAGAGCTCTTCCCACTAGAAAGTGAAATGCTTGGAAGAGAAAGATTCAGTCTCCTAGTCTATCATATTGGAGTTGGAATAGAGATGGCGCCTCACCTCTGGTTAACATGCAGATGATGTGATGAGTAATCGCTCTATTGCTTGAGGTTAAGTACCCTGACAGTAACCGAGCCCACATACAACCATGACACTTTCGAATTCTACGTCATGCAGATGATCATCTTATTTGCTATCTACAGCAGTTTTTGCAAAACCTCCCTCGTCCCTAATCTCAATTTGGCTTCTGTAGTCCACAGTGTGATCAGTAGTAGTTGCAGCAGAACCGAGGTTTTGTCATCCACATACGAGTAGTCGGCATAGTTTTCAACAAGACGCGCTATGTGCACTATGCTCCAAAACAGGGAGGGTAACAATGAGCAAGTGCACATCTACTGGATACTTTTGGTGCTGGTGTGATGCACCTCGGAAACCAAAATCCACCATACGAATTGCACATATCCGGAGATACCGATAAAGCAACTAACGGCGAGGCTCGTGTGCGAAACGCTATGGCTCCAGAGCTAGTTCTGTGAACAACCGTCCGTACGCAGTCAGCAATTGTGCTGAGCGAGACATTTGTGGATACTGTCTACGCGTCAAACTAAAGATGTGATGATGCTGTAAAAGATGCTTTCTACCTGTATAAATAATTTGACGACGCACCAAAGAACAGTGCTGAAGTGCTATTGTTGTAGGTGATTGTGATGAACTCATTCGAATATTCCACAATACCTAAAAGAATGTTATACAAAATGACACGTGACGTTATTTTTATTAACGCCACACCGATTGAATGTTGTATCTATTAGTGAACTATCATCAATCTTAACATGTACATGGGTCAGAAACTAAACCGGACACTAGAAATCACCGGCCAACCGCTGAGTGCATTGGATGGAACGCGTCAGGGAATTCAACAATCCGACTTCTTCGTATTTGCTCCCTGGTTTCGTGGACCATCTCCGAGTTTCTTTTTTCCGTCCCTTTGTTGAACGACTGTAAGACAAGTAAGAAAGTTTATATTCAATGAGTCACAGTATAGCAAGAAAAAGCGGCATTTCAATAGATATACTGAATTCAGTAATTTGCCATATTATCCTCAGCTGTTTATATACAGCCTGTGGAAAGAGCAGGTTGCGTACCCAAGGCAATCAAAGTGCGATACTATCAACGAATTTTAAAGCGGTCGGAAGCCGTTGAGTTTAGATGACCCGGTCAGACGAAAGACGGTCACTAGTCTCACCAGGGTAGGGCGAGGCTGGTCACGAAATCCGTTTGTTTGGACAAAGTCGGTTTCAACCAGCGAATCGCCGAGGCCTCTGCGATTATTGTTTAACTATCCTAAACCCTCCATTTGGGTTTTGGTACGCAGAGCAATCAAGTATGTGGCGACCAATAGGGCTAGTGGATAGCTTTGGATCATTTGCGACTGTCTTGTGGGACGTGCTCCGCAATCCTCACTGACAACCTCTCAATTCGTCTAATGTGCTTGCTACCGCAGGTAAAACTAAAGTAGTAGATGCACGAAGCGGCAACTTGATAGTTCGGTCTGTCCACGTCGGATTTGCACAACAGCCTTCTGACTTGGTGCAATACCACTAGCACCTAGTGGATTGAAGAAGACTATGTTGACATCTGTCTACTTGGTCTCCTTTAAACGGCAGCATAATAAATACCTTTTTCTTTGGAACATCCGTTGATATGCTATCTGTTCTTTACACAAATTGTATGTGAACAGCTGAGGAAAACATGCGAAATTACTGAATTCAGTGTATCCTGTTAAAATGTGATTTCTTCTTGCTATACTGGAATTCGTGCATGAAATTCCTATCAGAGTGGTGGAAATAGCGTGAATCTGTGTAGCCGTCAATAATGTAATGAATGGAAGGGGCTTGCAATTCGAGTGAACTACTCAACTGCGGTTACGGTGCTTAAGCAACCCGATCGTAATAAGACTTAGTGCTATTCAAGGGAAAGTAGTCGTCGTATCGTGGTGAAAACAGACCAGAGGTTAAGATAAGCACAAAAGCACATTTGACATATGTTACCTCCCCATGTTAAAATTGGAATGCTACACAACTACATCAGAGGAAGAAACAAAAATCGATTAGTGTAGCCCGCTTCCACTAAGTACGGAACATACGTTATTCCACGCGGAGTGAAAAGTTCTGCCCTGGTGGTCTTTCGTTGTGTGAGCGGTGGCCGTTTCGATTCCGGACGCAATAATGTGCAATGGTCAAATATGACGGCATTTATACTGTGAGGTAGAGATCGATAGAACAAATCCGAGATACTGCGTTCACACAGTGGACGATCCTTACCTAGCAATTTGCTGACAGAAAGTTTATCGACTCCAGGTTTGGTTGAAGCACCCGGGTTGTAGTCATTCAGATATTTTGCCCCAATGTACGCACATAGCTATAAATAGGTCAACAGGCAGCACTTGTCCGAACATTACAGACCATCTCGATCGATATCTGCTGTTTATCGGAGACGCGTCTACAAAACTAGAACTGTGCTCACCTTGCGATCCCCTTCAGGTGATATCAGCAGTACTCTCACTGCTCCTATCCGGTGACGATGCAGCTTCGAGCACCAGCCAAGCTGGTGTTGACATTTCCCTGAGTACCCGAACTGAAGCTTCTCTGGTTGTTTGGATCCCAATCAGTAGCCGGATGTGTGCGGTCCGGTTGGTTCGCTCGTTCAAAGTTTCGAACTCGCGCGGGTGTCTATGGGTGCCTATTCGTCATCGCTGCCTACGCCCCCACAAACACTAGCGATGTTTCGGTAAAAGACGATCTATCGCCAACTGAACGAGCGCCTTTGCTACAGAAAAAGCACAGATACTGTTGTGCTGGCGGGGGACCTGAACGCTCAAGTTGGAATATTAACCACCGATGAACTGCATCTGGGCAGCCAACAGGATGTAGGCTCCCGGTGAGCAGCTACTTCTTTTGTATGAAAATGCCCGGTTATTTCTTGCGAGCACTAAGCTACGACATAGCACCCGCCGGAGAGTGACTTAGCGCAATCAGTTACCAGTGGAGAGGCTGCGTCCAGAACTGTCGCTCGAGTTGGAGCACATTTGTGGACACCGACCATGCACTTGTATGTACTGACTTGCGGATGCGTTTTGGCGGACGCCCACGAAGACGCTGTGAGCGCATGGACACCAGTCAACTGGCGAAGCCAGCTGTTCTGAATACCTATCAAAGTACGCTGTCATGCGGGTTGAGTAAGCGCTCACTGGAGACAATTGATGGTCACTGGTTCACCAGACCTTACTAACACTAGGAAAATCCTTATGTAGTAAGTCTAATAACCAACATGGAAATTGGGTCTCTTCGCTGTCTCTGGAACTTATGGATGATCGCCGGCACATTCCGGCTGGACGCGAACACAATGAGACTCGCAACGCCATCAGTGCAAAACTCCATGCTAGCCTGAGGAGAGACCGTGAATGCTGGTGGTCTCAACGTACGTCATAGATAGAAGTGGCCGCTGCCATTGGTAACCATCGAAAGTTATTCCGTCTGATACGGGAAACAGGCAGCAGAAGACCTGGTGTTAGTGAAACAATTTATGACGAGAGTGGACAGACTATCCACAAATTGTCAAGTTATTTGGAGCGTTGGGCTGAGCATTTTGAAAAGCAGTTTAATCGGCCGGAATTGTTAGATTCCTCACTGGCCAGTGATCGACCTGTTCCCTGGGATATCCCTTTGGATCCACCCTTTTGCTCAGAAGTCGGACATGAGATCGGACTGTTGAACAAAGCCGTGGGATCAGATGATTTTTATCCACCCCTCTTCAAATTCGGGGTCCTGCTCTTGTTGGTGATTTACACGAATTACTAGTGAAACTGTGGGAGTAGGAAATTATCCCAACCGACTGGAGTCTCTCCGTCATAGTCCCCATTTTCAAGGGACGCTCACGATCGGAATGCGGTAACCATAGAGAACTCAGTTTGATCTTCGCCTCCAAATTGCTTGTCTCTCATCCTTCACAGACTGACTGGCACTCGTAAAAGCCCTATTCGTGAGGAGCAAGCTGGGTTTCGTCGTGGTCGCGACGAGACTGGACCTTAACGTAGTGCGATGGTTGGTGTGCGTCAGTGATCCATTGTGCTATGCTGAGTGGTGCTTTTTTGCACCTTCAGAGCCACATATACTAGATTGGTCAATGGTTATAGGCCAGACAAACTCAGTCTCTTGGCCCTACAGGTTGGAAGTTGCAGTGAGGGTGGCTCCTTACTCCATAAAACGGGCTCTCTGCAGTCTAGTGCCAAAACCTCGCTGCCTTACGGTAAGGTTTTTGAACCAAAGCCTTTGGTTGAGAACCGTAATGGTTCGCCTATCTAGGCCTGGGCAATCTGACATTATTCTGCCAACATAATACAATGAACCTTTATTCTAACAACTTCTTGATGCTATGGCCGTCGCAGAGGGTAACCAACGGCGCCATATCTGCTGCATCGAGCAGGGTGGATAGGTGTTTGGATGCTATTGCTCAGGCCTTTCCGTTTTCTTATTCCCCTTCTTGCGCTTTTTCATCCTTAGCGTCCCGTTCCAACTTCATTTTCACCCACCATTTTCAATTCCCAAATTCTCGGCCCTTCCCTACCTTGCTTCAATAGTCGCTTGTCTTCTAGTTTCAACTCACACACAATCGCAGGGCGTCGCCTTAGTACAGTCGAGAAGTCCATGTTCAACCAAGTGGACAACGTCAGTACATCTATTTACCTTTAGAGTCATCGACCTTAGCTAAGACTGGCATGCTTCAACGTGCGCCCTTTGCTACAGATTGACCAACAGGCAACACTTGCCCACACACTAGAGACCCTATCGATCGATATTTGCTGTTTATCAGAAACCCGCCTGCAAGATTCGATCTCCGTGCTTACCCTGCGATCCCTCACATGCGACGCTGGCGGCACATTCTCATTGCGCTTGGCTAGCGATGATGCAGCTTCAAATGCCGGTCAAGCTGGCGTCGGCATTATTTTGGGCCCCCGGGCTGAAGCTGCCCTGATCGATTGGATCCCAGTCAAGAGTCGGAGGTGCGCCATTAGAGTAGCTGGTTCGTTCAATGCTACAAAGTCGCGCGGAAACAAACGGTGCCTGTTTGTCATTGCAGTCTACCCCCCTACAAACTGTAGCACTGATTCAATGAAAGATGATTTCTATCAGCAACTTCACGATCTCCTTCGTTACAGAAGAAGCACGGATACTGTGGGGTTGGCTGGCGATCTAAACGCCCAAGTCGGAACATTGTCTTCTGAGGAGCTTCGTCTGGGCAGCCAACATGGTGTAGGCTCCCGTAATGATAACGCTGAGCGATTGCTACAGCTGTGTGAAGATGCTCGTCTCCTTCTCGCGAGCACAAACTTTCGACACAGCACTCGCAGAAGCGTGACTTGGCGCCTACCAGCTTCGCACCTGCCATGGGCGCAAATCGATCAGTTACCGCTGGAGAGGCTGTCCAAAATTGTCGCTCGATTTAGAGCACGAGCGTGGACTCTGACCACGCACTCGTTTGCGCCGACCTTCGGGTGCGTTTCGGTGGACGTCCGCAATAACGATTGGGAACGGATTGACACTAGCCAGCTGGCAAAGCCATATGTTCTGAATGTGTATCAAAGTGCGCTGACATCCGGGCTGAGTAAGCGCTCACTGAGCACCGTCGAAAATCGCTGGTCGCATATTCGTCGAACGTTACTATCAGCAGGCATGTCTTCACGTGGCAAATCAAATTGCCAAACTGGACATTGGGTCTCTACACTTATGGATGCTTGCCGTATTCCGGCTGGAAGTGAAAACAATGAGACTCGCAAAAATCTCAGGGCAAAACTAAGTGCTAGCCTGAAGAAAGACCGCGAAGCCTGGTGGTCTCATCGTGCCTCTGAGATGGAAACCGCCGCTGCCGTTGGTAATCATCGTAAGTTATTCCGTCTGATACGGGAAACGGGCAGCAGGAAACCTGTTGTTAGCGAGACCATACGCGACGAGAGTGGGCAGCCGAGTCACAGCCTGTCAAAACGCTTGGAGCGTTGGGCCGAACACTGCAAGGTAATTTAACCAACCTGAGTTATCGGTTACTTTTTCGGGCATTGAGCGCGCTTCTCCCTGGTCTGTCTCCTTGGATCCGTCCTCATGCGCAGAAGTCGAACGTGAGATCAGGGGCAGGGGCAGATAGAATTCCCTCAGCCCTCTTCAAATTCGGAGGACCTGATCTAATTGATGATTCACACGAGTTGCTAGTGGTACTTTGGGAGCAGGAGACTGTCCCGAAAGACTGGAGCCGCTCCGTCATTGTCCCAACTTTCAGAGGAGGCTCCCGTTCGGAATGCCGCAATCATAGAGGAATCAGTCTGATCTCTATTGCCTCTATTGCTTCCGTCTGTCATTCTCCACAGACTGATTGGCAATCGTAAAAGCCAGATTCATGAAAAGCAAGCCGGGTTTCGTCGATGTTGGGGCTGCATCGACCACATCTTCAGCTTGCGTCAATTGTTGGAGCACCGCCATGTTTATTGGCGACTCATCGTTGTCGTGTTTCTTGAAATAAAAGGTGCTATCGACTCAGTCGATCGATGTGCCCTTTGGGACTGTCTGCTGATGAAAGGTGTGCCTGATAAATATGTAAAAATTATCAAAGCGCTGTACGCGCATAGTTTGGGCTGAGTGAAGGTTTATGGCAAACTGACGCCACCCTTCAGTATTACCAGCGGCGTGAGACAATGCTGCCCGCTGTCACCTTTCCTATTTAACTTCGTAGTTGACGAAGTCATAGGAATAGCATTCGTTGGACACGACCTAGAAGATGTGGAGCTACTTCCTGGTGAGCGACTTCTTGACTTGGAGTATGCGGATGATATTGCCCTAATCTGTGACAGCTTCCAAACGCGCCAAGCAGCTCTGGACCGATTAGCACTGGCTATCTATCGTTTTGGGCCATGTTTTGCTCCATCGAAATGCAAAGTACTTCTCCAAGATTGGCAGGGACCCAACCCTGCGCTAACGCTTGGTGGTGATTAGCTAGAAGTCGTTCAGGAATTCAAGCATCTAGGCAGCTATATTAGCGCCCGTGGGATCAAAGACCAGGCAACGAAGCGTACGGCAAAAGCTCGAGGTGCTTTTGCCAATCTCCGCCACCTGCGGCGCAGGCGCGACATTACTCTCGCCCCGAAGGGCAGAGTTTATAACACAGCCTTCTGTTCAACTCTCCTATATGGTTGTGAAACCTTGCCCATCAGGTTGACTGACATAAAGAGGCTTGTCACATATGACCACCGCTGGCTTCGTAGATTAGCTCACATCTGGTGGGAACACCGGGTGAGCAATGAGCGTGTCTGACGTTGTGTGTTTGGTGCAGGAAGAGCAAGTGGACCGCTCGGCACAAGGCTCTGATGGCTGCGCTACGTGTTACGAATGGCAGCACATCGACTCCCGTGACGTGCGTTGTTTGCGCTCCAGGGGTGTGAATGGAAGAAGAGAAGAGATGGTCAAACGATGACTTGGTCGAGAGGAATGAAGGCCCTCACTTGGAAGCTGGCCTCGATTGGAGCATCTCGGCACTCTGGTTGGGGTCCGAAAGACGGTGAACACGTTTGACTGGATACACTTGTTGACATGGTCGGGAACCGACCTCAATGGCGTTCGTGCTGTTTTTTTGTCCCTCCTTATCCCTCTTAGTCTCCCCTTCCAACCACAATATCATTGCTTAGCACAATAAATATTTTTTGCTGCTTGGTAACCGGCTGGTAGCTTTCCGGTACGATTCACATGCGCTACCGGTAGCTCAGCTGGCATGTATCAGTTGCATATTTTTTGTTGTACGTATTGCGGTACAGTAGCTGAGGTGTTTCCAACCTCTAGCTAACGTGTGTAATGATGCATTTAGATACTTGATGGGTATCAATAGTCCTTTTTGGGGCAACCGAAACCGGTTTCACCTACCAAACAGAAAGTCGACTTACAAAAGAAGCAAGAATAGAAAAGTGGCGGATTAACTACCAAAGCACATGTGGGTGCATAAGGACGGTAAGTCACATCTTTTTAACTTAACCTCGAAAAGGTGACCACTTTTAGCGAGATCGACGTGATTCAGTGCATTGAGACGGTTTGCGTGCCTTAACAATCCACTAAGCTCTGCTGGGTGGCGCTTCAGGCACCTTCAGAGTCACTCATACTAGATTGGTCGATGGCCATAGGCCAAACAAACACCTAGTCCTCCAGGTTGAAGTGAAACGGCTCCTTATTCCTTAAAATGGACTATGTAGCTCACTGCCAAATTGCTGATGTCTTGCGCTTGAGTTGTTGAACCGAAGGCTTTGGTTAGGGATCCTAATCGTCTTTCTCTCTAAGCTTGGGCAACCTAACAGTATCATGCTCACGTAATACAATGAATTTCTCTTCACGCAATTTCTTGACGCTGTGGCTGTCGCAGGTGGTAATCGATAGCGCTCTAACTGCTACATCGAGCAGTGTGGACAGGAGTGAGGATGCTGCTGCCCAGGCTTTCCCATCCTTTTATTTATTCCCCTTCTCGCACTTTTTCATCCTTATCGTCTCGTTCCAACTTCACTGTATTCCCCTGTATTTTACCCCCAATTCTTGACTAAACTACTTGCTTTGGTAGACGTTTGTGTCCAGGTTTAGACTCACATATAATCGTAAGGCGTCATCCCTGCCCTGTCGACAAAAGTTAAGTTCAACTATGCAGACAACCTCAGTTCATCCGCCTCTATTTGGAGCTCCTGACCATCGCTAAGGTTGGCGCGCTTCAAGTTATGTAGACCGGTCAACAAGCTGCAATTGCTCGAAAGGTCGAGACCCTATCGATCGATATATACTACTTATCTTAAACACGCATGTAAGACTCGAGATCTGTGCTCATTCTACGCTCCTCTTTATGTGAAACTGGCGGCACTTTCACATTGCGTCTATTCGGAGATAAAACAGCCTCTAATGCCAATTAATTCGGTGTGGACATTGCTTTGAGTTCCCCGGCTGAAGGTACTCTGGTAGACTGGATCCCCTTCAGCAGCCGGATGTAAGTTATCAGATTGGTTTGCTTGTCGCGCGGGACCAATAGATAGCAGTTTGTGATTTGCTGTCTACGCCTCCACAAACTGTAGCGCTGACTCGGTGGAAGACAACTTCTACCGTCACCTGAACGAACTTCGTCAAAGATGCACGGATACTGCCGTGTTGGCTGGTGAGCTGAACACTCAAGTTGGAAAACTGTCCAATGCTTAGCTGCATCTGTACGATGAACATGGTGTAGACTCCCGTAATGATAACGGTGAGTGGTTGTTATGCATGTGTGAGGATGCTCGTCTACTTCTTGCCAGCAAGAAACAGACCCACCGCATCGTGACAAGGCACCCACCAGCCACGAATGCAAGCACATCGACTCCCGTGAGGTGCGTTGTTTGCGCACGCCGACTCTGTTTGGGGTCCTAAAGACATTCGGCTGATAGCGCTTATCAACATGTCTAAGAACCGATCACCGTGGCGTCTGTTTTGGGTTTTTTTTATTCCGCTCCATCACGCTTAGCCTCTCCCTCTAACCACAATCCCCTTGCTAGTGCATACGGTAAGACAACGCATGATAATATTTTTGTTCTGTTCTGATTTTGTTGTTTTTTCGTTTTACTTCCACTTAATTGATTTTTATTGCGGCGCAAGAGTTGGGGTGTTTCCCACTCCTATCAAATGTGTGGAAGGATGATGCGTGAATGAAGCTGACGAGATGGACTAAAGTAATCAGTACAGAGTTCCACAAGCGCAGAAGATAATGATTATGAACGCGGTAGCATCACCTTTCGAAAAATCGAGGTTCTGGTGAATATATCGAGACGAATGAATGTACCGAGATTACCACAATTCATACGCAGGTGACAATGCGCATAACGCGATAATGCTGTTTGAGAACCTGGGTTTGGTATAATACTGACTGGATTTATAACGCGGTATGAATAACAGGGTCACACAGAAATATGTACGGTATAAGGAAAGCCAGCTAGTCCTGTTACTTTTGACAGTAGCAACACAGAATTTCTCTACTGTGACACATAGCGAAACTCACTGCAGACTTGTCATCGAACTAGATCGCAGGCTGAATCCGTCGATGGAGCCAGATGTGCTGGTCCCAGACATACTACTATCATCTGAGAAAGACTCCGTTTCGACATTGGAATGATCTAATTGAATGAGAGAAGAGGATGCAATGAGCACCAATAAACCAACTGCATCGAATACACACATATGTTTGCTTACGGAAATCATACTCCTCCGAAAGCCACTCAAGATGGTACAACAACAAAATTACATCCAGTGTGAACACATGCACGTAGATCCACTGGATGCACTTTGATTGTGGTTCGAACTACCTTGGGTGGCTTACAGAAAAACATAATCTTCCTACTGATGAAATAATCTGTATTATTAGTGCAATTGACTGAGATTTCGACTCAAGATAAATTCCTTTTCTTACTCCTTTAGAACTCAGCAAAAATCAGTAGAAAATGACCTAGACAGGTAAACATTCTCATGACAGCAGCTGTATAAGCAATATGGTGACCGTGAAACTTGAATCGCACCTAAAAGTTGTGTTGGACCCTTCATTTTCTGCTAGAACTAAATCGGTTGCAATAGCCATCACTATTACCATTCCTAAAGTGCAGCATCGACCTTGTTAATGACAGGGAGAAACACCAATCACTCCATCCGTTCGGTGACTAGGTGTTTCTGCTACATCGCAAAACCGGAAATGTTTCAAGTGTTTCGCTTCAATCGTTCTAACTATCCACTGACAACGTTTAGATTTCGTGTTTGCGCATTCAGGATTCTAAGTGACATCATAAAGATGTGCGAGCTAAGCGCTCAACTACAAGTGCTCATCAAGGGTACCTTACCGATAGCATTGATGTCTCCAGAAGATTCAGCGATGCGATTGGCTTGTGCTTCGTCTTTATGAATGCGTCGTAACACCGTCAATCGTTCGAAAAGTTTCGTGAATTCTGTACGCACTTCCGACAGTTGTTCGAAAAGATTCGAATAAGAATGCATCAGCTTTGGTTTCATATTCTTATCCAACAGTCCGGCTATTGAATACAGAGACGCCTTAGAATGGGATAAAAATTGTGTAAACAACATCAAGCGAACACTCGGAAGCGCTAATCGGCAACGGTGAACAATGCTGATCAGTGAACGAACGCCACAATCTGGTTGTGCAACCTGGCAACTTTACATGTCTAGAGCCGGGAAGTATTATTTACTAGGCGGAGAGTAAGAAACGAGATCATTAGATTCATAAACCTTGGGTATATACTACACAGACGACGAAAGAATGATCAAAAGAGTGGGGCGGAATTTACTTCCAGACATGAGGGGTAGTGTAAAAGCGATGGTCTTATACAAACACTAGTGAGCTCCTGGCAAGTCTGAAAAAGGTGATTAAAAACACGGAAAATGATAGAAAAAATCGCAACCCGCTATTGATGACACAAGGTATGGCAAACAAGACCAGACTGATGTGTAGTTCGGATAAATATCAAGATATCAAGAGAAGAGGTCAGCATAGGCAATTATAGGAGTTGAGACTTTGGGACTGTTGAAGAGAGCAAGGGACTATCACTTTCAACGACAGTTAAAACTCTACGCTGCTTACCAGGCGACGAGCCTCGACCCAACAACCACCATTCAGAGCGGAAATCAGGGCAGAATTCGGGTCCTAAAATAAAGATGGAATGTCAGAGGAGCGAGTATGAGAAAAACGTTGTGACAAAGGAGCGGACACAGCAAAGGAAAGGGCGAACGATGGTGAGGAAGACAGAAATAGACGAGAAAGCAAGATTTAACCATTGGTCAAAAATAGCGGAAGCGAACCTTTAAGTGATCCGTATATATCATGATTGCTTCATCGTGGCGTCCCAAATCTTGCAAACGAGCTGCATAATGAAGACAAAGTAGGAGATATGTCTCGTAATTGTATTCGGGGAAAGTAAGCTAGTCTCAAGTCGCAGCACAGAGGTAGGCTTTTACTTCGAGAGAAATCGCGGCCAAACGCGTAAATGAGCGAGGAACAGTGGGTAGGAGGGCAATTGCAGTTGCACACAACGTGAGTATTAATGTGACGCAATAAGAGGAATATACGGTAAGTGTTTGTGGAATATACCCGAGTAAGAACGTTTCGTGCTTCTGTGTTTGACTGACCAACTTGGACATAAATAAATATTGGGGAACAGGAGAAGGTAACGAGAGCTTGGTTGCCAAAATCGGTGCTCCGAACTGATATCGATGGCAAATAAAGATGAAAATTAAGCAGAGGGATAGGTCGTGGTGAGGGAGCAATGATAGCATATACAGACAAATATAAACATACATGCCAACTTCCGCGCCTGGTCAAGATGTTCCTGTTCACCTAAGCAAACGTCTGCATCTGCGTCTTCCAAACGCATCGTACGAGCTTGAGCGGCAGCAATCGACCACATTCGCGCTTGCAAGCAAGACAGAAATACTCGTGCGGCGGAAGCGAACAGGCCACATCGAAGATAAACCAAACCCGCTAAGTACAACTTCTGTTCCTTCACGAGATGACTTGCCCAAGAACGACCAATTAACTACAAAACGAATATAATTCTCATCAGCTAAATAAGTTGATTGGGAGGGGGTCTTATAAAGGGTCTAGCAGTTGCACTTAGCGGAGAAAAACCTAAGTGAATGTAAAACAGACTAGTTAAACCATTGATGAGGCCCCGAAGTAAAAAAGTAGAAACTGGACATGGTGTCAAAATATAGTGCGAAATGATCCTAAATGGCGGATCCACGGGGAAGCGCGCACTAACAGTCGGTGGTGAATGTGGCAAACGGTATGATTGTAACGTTGCCTACCTGGAGATCAGGTGAAGAAACCTTACGAGTGGATAAGACTGTGCATATGACTGGTTCCGACATCGTTGGTATACAGCAACCAGGAGGGACTAACAGTGCAACTTAACTCCTATCTAACATAGTGGAAACAGGATCAGATCACGTTGCTGTCCGCTCATTCACCAGATGACAGAGACGCGTACGCAGTCACTGACAACCATAACATGTTTTCGATGACGGAGATAAAGGTGTCTGAACAGTTGTCTCGCAACAGTTCATGAAAGTAAAGTCAGATAACGAAGTGCACAGCTAGAATAGTTGTATCGGCACTCATTGGGGCAACAGGGGACAATAGATTTATCACGGGTAAAAAAGTAAATGGTTAACAACTTGTGTGGACACAAAGTAAAACCAAAAAGTGAACGTATTAAAAATAGTGACGCATATCGGTAAACTCACTGTAGATCTCACACGCGCGCACAGTTTGGTTATGTGTCATGTCTCAATAATGAGGGTTAACTTATGTGATGCATCATCAAGACGAATTTCAAATTATGTCAACTCTGCTACGATACGAAGTAATTCACATCCTTAGTAACATGGGGTGTTTGACGCCACGGTGAAAAGATGCTATATGAACAGAATAACGGTACTTTATTACGATATTTTGTTTTCACCCAGTTGCAGGTAAAATGTTAATGTTAGCTCGCTAGGTCAGTACTCCTGATACTTTACCAAACATGGTCTAAATAGGGCTGTGGTCACATAGACCCTGTTGTAACAGAGCAGGGTTAACGTAGCAGGAGAGATGACGGAGTTTAGAAGAACGTGAGGTCTTGTAGCTGGCCTTTAATAAGTGTAGACATGAGCGATTTGGATCCTTGAGGATTAGACACATCAATGCAAGATCACCCCTCAAACGACGGTAGTAGCCGCTGAAAACTTCTACAGCCTTAGAGGTCTGAGTTAGTAATGGAGGTGGAGCAATCCATGAACACGGAGACGTAGTGGATTCTCAAGAGCAGTTAAGTCATACTTTTGCTGAGTGTCAGACCTGGATGGTGTATTCCATATGTGGCCTCACGTAAGCGCTGAGCGTCTGCGAAAATGACAGTTGGCCAAACACCCTCCGCAAGAGTCCCAAAATCGAATTAGCTTTCATAGCTTGATTTAAAGGAACCGTCCTGAACGAGCACTCCACGATCACTTTCATGAGAAGCGCGCTGCAAAACGTGCCCTGCTAGTGGGTATTCGTGGATTCTCTGGTGGTGTATGCCAAATAATCGAGCATGCTAAGGTTGCAGTGCTATGCCCTGATAACCTAACAAATATTGGGATCGTTCGCAACGAGTAGAACGTTTGTTGCGAGGTTGTTTATTAGCACTAAGAGCAGCCATCATTCGAATACGGAGCATTTCGGGTCAGGCAAGTCACTACAAACTATCACACTCAAGAGGCGTTGGACCCTGCATGCATGTATGCAGCTCTGAAGTTTGCAAAAAATGTGGCAACTCAGACGCCTAATAGCTTATGAGAAACTAAGGTAGGTAGCGTAAACTTATTCCTGAGCATTTATATATTTGGGGGAATAGACGTAAGTTCCTGATAGATACGACACCGGAGAATAACATCTTGGCGGAGAAGCAGGTGGCCAGAAAACTCCAGATCCTTTTGCTACACGGATACATCACTGAGTCACAGTACAGACAGCTGAAACCGACTGGGACGCAGACACCGAGAATGAGGAGCGCGCCTAAGATACACAAACCAGGCAACCCACTGCGTCCCATTATGTGCATGAACAACTCGCCTTATCACAACGTTGCCCGGTGGCTGGCGAAACTCTTAGATCCCGTGCATAAACTCTTGGCTACGCACTGCCTGAAAGATTCATTTGAACTAGCGGAGACGCTAGAACAATTCTCACTGGGTTCGGAAGTAATGTACTCTATTGACGTGGATTCTCTATTCACAAACGTGCCACTTCAAGAAACAGTTGATGATTTGTGTCATTTCATCCTGAGTCAAAACATGTATGTGGGTCTCCCTGTGGAATATTTGCAGGATATGATTCTACTGTGTACAGAGAATGTACGTTTTGAGTTTGGGGGGAGAGCATACAAGCAAATCGACGGAGTCGCCATGGGTAGCCCTCTGGGACCGGTCTTGGCAGATATCTTTCTCGGCTTGATCGAAAGGCAAGTCGCTACCAGTATTGGTGAAGCAAGGTTATACAAAAGGTATGTGGATGACATTTTGGTGTTCACCAACAGCGAACATTTTACTCGCCTGTTAACCAATCAAAATTCAATTCATCCCAACTTATCAGTCTCCCACGAGATGGAGAAACACGGCTCCCTGGCATTTTTGGATATCCTCATTAAGAGGCAGGACGGAAGTACTTTGCAGCGCACCGTTAACCACAAGGCAACCTGCGGTGGGCAGTACCTTCACTTTTCCAGTTTTGCCCCGGTTTCATACAAACGCGGCCTAGTGAAAACGCTGTTCTACAAGGCCAGACGTATTTGTAGTCCGGATACACCGGAAGCCGAAGAGAAGTTTCTGCATAGGACCTTGGTGGCAAATGGTTATCCTGAAAAGTTCATCCAAGTGCACAGCAGACTCCCCAAAAAGAAACTGCCGGTGCTAACGGCAGAGAAAAAAGCTGTTTATCTGTTCCTGCCCTTCAAGGGAGACCAGGTGGCAAACGACATCGGACACAAGCTCAGATCCACTCTAACGCGCACGTGCACGACTGCACAGTCGCGTCTCATGCACACGACTCGAAAACTTGTTCTTCATGACCGTCAGAACTACTCTTCGGTTAGTTCGCCCTCGCATGTGGTCTATCAGTTCAGCTGCAGTTGCAGTGACGTTTACATAGGCAGGACTAACCATCGGTTGGCTCAGAGGGTAGCTGAACACTTGCCAAAGTGGGTAGAGCAAATGATGACGCGACAAAATGGAGCGCCCCCCAGAATGAATTGGATTCTGTCATCATCTATCACTAAGCACCTCGTGACAACTGGTCACAATGTGGACCCCAAGACTGCGTTCAAAGTGCTATTACGTAACCGGAATCCGATAATGTTGGCAATCAGTGAAGCGTTGCTAATCAGGGCTTATCAACCAGTGCTATGTGCACAGAAACTCTTGAGGCAATCAATCCGATTGCCTTGGACTTGATTTTGACGTTTTGATTGGTTTGCCAATTTTTTGCCATGTATATAATTGTGTGTGTTTCTGCTTGTATTGCGTCTGCGACTGACGAGAACAATCGAAATGTTAACATATCGCAATCTGTGCCTTCTTTCTGCTTTGATCAAGTGGCTGAAGGGGACCAAATGTTTTACATATTTCGTCAAACTGACACGAGTTAAGAAAAAGTCCGTGATGCATGAGTCGTTAGGGGGTGACTATTTTAAGGTACACCATAGCAGGAAACTACATGTCGTCGAAACAGTCTTGGAACACCCGAGATAACGATTTAGCCAAGTTTATGACAGGTACGTGCCATGTATTGAGGCGTATGCTGTCCGCACTAGAAGTACTGTGTTCACACAATCCACGATAATGAAGAAAGTGCCTTAGTCCCGGTGGTGGCCAGATCTGTGTGAGAATGGTGTGGGATGGCGATGCGTACTGCAAAGTACAAGCGAATCGTCGTCTACGAGTGCTGGCTGTGTGTTGCACAGTTTACCTTTGCCCATATGTGGTGTTCGGGTCTTAGATGACTAGCTAGATTTTGCGGAGTTCGTTGATAGATCTGCAAAGCATTTTGAGGTTGGGGCAGAATATCATCATTGGTGTTTCAATTTATTCTCGCGGAACAGTCTGACGCAATGGTTCCGCTCGGTTATTTAAGATTTCCAGTTTTTGACTTTTGGAGAGGCATGGTTGCCGAATCGAGCCTTGCAGTCAAAAGTTTCCACATCCTACTCCGCAAGAATGACCTTGCTTCTTGAGTTGGGAATCTTAGCTCCTGATGAGTTTGTTACTAGAGTGCCGAACCGGTTGACGAAGTCCTCCCAAGCGATATCGGGGGGTTGGTGGGCTAGGAACGCCCAGTCTCTACGAAGTCAAATAGAATGCTGTGATGCTTTACGATAAAAAATCTCCACGACGTTCCCGTTGAAGTGCTAGAGGAAAGGGAGTGTTGCATGACTGCTTGCATCACAAAGGACTACACACTGTTAGTGTATCAATCATAAGCTCCTCATTGGTAAACACAAAGTTCAGAGTAGCCCTTCTGAATTTCTTGGGAGTAGTAACGTGATCATGTTGTGCTACGCAAGCCATTTGCTATTGCAATTCGCCACAAATTGTTCATCAAAACGTGAAACGCGAAGTCTCCCACAAAGAGAACCTGCCTGTAAGGCCATGCGAAAACGGTATTTAAACCAGAGACTAGACAGCTGTGTTAATTTATGGAGTGGGCATTGGAGGGCGATAAACGATGGCAGTCAAACATGCCACCACTCCTAGGTGCCGACGGCACCAAAACGAGTCAAAAACTTGAATCTCTGGGTAATCAAATTGTTCGATGATACAAAAATTACACTACTGGATCGATCCTTACGTAAAATGGACATGCACAATATAGCGATCTCGGCACCAGTGATTTTGGTTATATTGTACATGTCCAAAGATGTCCACGCTTGACGAGATTGAAGTCAGGTGATTTGCTGAGCAGTCCATGTGCATTGGTGTGCAAACAGGAAAGTGTCTACGAATGCAAGAAGCATTTCTG